CAGTAACACAGGTCTTATCACCAATTCCTGAGACTGAAGATGTTGACTCTTCAAGTGAGCTTCCGACTCCTAAAGGTAAAAACAGGAGAAAAAAGGAAACCGTACGGTTACAAAGTCTTCTCATCCAAATGGAGCCAGGCAGAAGAGAGACTCTGACCAATGAAGAGGCAGCTCAGGAACCTTCAAATTCGGGGCCTGAAGTCACAAAAACAAGAGTTCACTACGCCGATATTCTGGATGAGCCAAAGGAGTTTGATGGTCCTTCAGTGAGACCGAAAAAGGCAAGTTCGATAAAGGCCTTAGATCACTTCTTCAGCCACATGGCAGATGATGAGCTAGATATCGATTACTATTGTAGGCCATTGAAAAACTATAATAATGAAAAAGCTAATGTTCAGGCAGCTACAAACTTTCAGGCTCCAAAACCAATGCATTTGCCAATGAAGGTGACTGCCTTTTCCAACAGTGAGCAGGTCAAGGAGGCACCTGTCTTTGACAAAAAACCACAAAAGGACCCAAGGATTATTGAGCAGACCTGCCCTGCTTACAAAAACAACAGGGAATATGAAAATGTTTCAAGGGTTCCTGAGCCAATCAATCACCCTGCTCATTTCCAGAAAAGTTACTGTCAAGCAGTATCCACTCCCAACCACCTGGTCACAAAAGAAAAATGTGATCCAGAGCCTTTGCAGGAGACAGGTCCTTCTGCAAGGTCAATGACTGAATTGAGGGATAATGAGGAGGCAAGGGACCAATTCTGGAGTAGGCCTCAAAGTAGCAAGATGGGAAAAAACTCACAGAATCAGCAGAACAAGGAGGGTCCAATAACACAGGCCTTATCACCAATTCCTGAGACTGAAGTGGTTGACTCTTCAAGTGAGCTTCCAACTCCTAAAGGTAAAAACAGGAGAAAAAAGGAAACTGTACGGTTACAAAGTCTTCTCATCCAACTGGAGCCAAGCAGAAGAGAGACTCTGACCAATGACGAGGCAGCTCAGGAACCTTCAACTTCGGGGCCTGAAGTCACAAAACCAAGTGTTCACTTCTATGCCGATATCCCGGATGAGCCAAAGGAGTTTGATGGTCCTTCAGTGAGACCTAAAAAGATAAGTTCGATAAAGGAATTAGATCACTTCTTCACCCACATGCCCGATGATGAGCTAGATATTGATTACTATTGTAGGCCTTTGAAAAACTATGCTTATGAGAAAGCAACAAATGTTCAGACAGCTACAACATTCCAGGCTCCAACACCAAAGCCTTTGTCAATGAAGACGACTGCCACTTCAAAAATTGAACAGGTCAAGGAGGCACCTGTCTTTGACGAAAAACCCCAAGAGGACCCAAGGATTATTGAGCAGACCTGCCCTGCCTACAAAAACAACAGGGAATATGAGAACATTTCAAGAGGTTCTGAACCAACCAATCACCCTACATATCACAAGAAAAGTTACAGTCACGCAATATCCACTCCGAACCGCCTGGTCACAAAAGAAAGATTTGATCCAAAGCCTCTGCAGGAGACTGGTTCTTCCGCAAGGTCAATGACTGAAATGTGGGATGATGAGGAGGCAAGTGAGGAATTCTGGAGTAGGCCTCTGGAATTTCTTCCAACAAGTCCAACAAACATAGAAGATTGGAAAGCCTCAGTTGAAATACTGGAGGTACATTTTGGACCGTCAACATCCAATCAGAAGGCTGTGGAAGTGACTGGTCATTCTATAATGGATGATGATGAATTTGAGGATTTTGATGAGTTCAATATTGGATCTTTAGAGTTTTACAAAACAGGCATGTCCAAACTGGACATGAGTGCCACGTATCGCTCTTCCAACTGGAATTGTGCTATATAAGGACTGCTATCTCCGGTCTGTTACAATGACGCAGAACATACACATGCAAAGATTAGGTAAACACAGAGAGATACATCATTTTGACTTTCGCACATAACTATAGGCTTTGTGCTAAAGTCCAAGAGTTATGGCTAAACTCTAACCACACGCTGCGAAAAACAGTCTTTCAAAGTAGCAAGATTGTTGCCTTATCACGGATTTTGGCATAAAAGGTCAGGTACACCGACTAGGTCGTCGGTATAAGTGACCATTTGTTGCATAATCACCAATTTTGGCATAAAAGGTCAGGTACATCGACTATGTGGTCGGTATAACTGGCCATTTTTTGCCATATCACCGATTTTTTGCATAAAAGGTCAGGTACACCAACTAAGTAGTCGGTATAACTGGCCATTTGTGGAAAGCAACAAATGTTCGGACAGTTATAATATCCCAGGCACAAAGTATCTGCAAATGAAGGCAATTTCCCATTCAAACACTGAAACGGTCGAGGTGGCTCCAGTCTTTAACAAAAAACTTTAGGCGAACAAGGAGGGTCCATTTAAACACCACCAATTCCTGAGACCAAGGTGGTGTGTGAAAGAGACAAGTTGTACATGTCCACTGACAGATCTAACGTCAATTCATTAACATTTGACTCTTCAAGTGAGCTTCCAACTCCTAATGGTAAAAAACAGGACGGATACAAACTCTTCTCATCCAACAGGAGCCAAGCAGAAGACAGATTGTGACCAATGACGAGGCAGCTCAGGAACCATCAACTTCTGGGCCTGAAGTCACAAATCCAAGAGTTCACTTCTAGTTCACTTCTCAGGCGATATCCCAGATGAGCCAGAGGAGTTTGATGGTCCTTCAGTGAGACCTAAAGGGCAAAGTTTTACAATGGCATCAGATTGCTTCTGCTCCCATATGCCTTATGATGAGCCACAACTATAGGTCTTTGAAAAAATATGCAATAGACTAAACTAGCTTGAAAGCAAATGAGAAAGCAAAACAGAAAACAGCTACAAAAAGTCTTTGACAAAAAACTTTGACAGGACTCAAGGGTTATTGGGTTACAGAGTTATGAGTACCACTTACCGCTCTCCCAACTTGAATTGTGTTATATAAGGACCACTGTCTCTGGTCCGATCCCCAGAGAACCCTTTAAACTGTGTCAATAAAATAAATAAAAACGTTTTACCTTTTAAAGAATGGTGTCTTCAGGTCGGATTAATATGTGTGATGCAAAAATAAGTGAATATGAGGGACTGATACAGAGTTATTGATAAATTTAACAACTTTTTAACATTTCTATTGTTCAATGTGTTTTTGTGGAAATTCTGCACATACCGAGAGTTAAAAAAATGTAAACAACCCAGAGCTGTAATTACAATCAAATTGTGAGTTTATTCATTAGTAAATGTGCACAATTACAATGAATAACCGAACCGATACCAATACCACCGGGCAGGAATGAGGAAATGACTGGACATTAAATAGACCAGAGTAAACAAAGACATATCTACTCTAGATATTACATAGATGAAGTCAACATTGATATCAACATGATGATGAAGTCAACATTGTCGCTCGAGGCTTCTCTTTACGCGTCCTTACACAGATACAACACTGATATACAGTGCCTTGCGAAAGTATTTGAATCCAGAGTTGACTGTTAGTTAATAACTTACACTCATAACTATTTGGTGTTAATTCAGATTGCTTCAGATTGCTTTACTAAAATAGTGTCAAATCAGTGTCAATTTGGGTCCAAATATTGTTCAAAACACCCAATAAAATAGAGGTAATACTAATCCTGTGTGAATTAGAATAAAGAAAGCAACTTTAGTGGAAGAGACATAATGTTTAAGGTTGTTATGGAAACGTCAGGGTTGATGCATGAGTCTCGGGAGCCCTGGGGGGTCTGCCCGGTAACTTCGAATATGGCAGATACCGGTGTTCAGGTGAGAAGTCGAAGGGATCTGGGTAGCCGTATTTCTTTGTTGACTGTTTATTTTGTGGGGTTTTTGTACACGTAAGAAAACAGTATGGCCAATGTGCAATGTGTCTCTGTGAGCTGATGATCACAGTCACTACATTAGTCAACAAAAAAAGGCATTTGTTCGAAAGCCATCAAGCGCAATACTGCCAAGCCCCTGTGATCCAAGATGGTGCCCTTTTCAAATGAATAGCTTGTGCTCAGTAGCACATGGGACATACACTGGAGCCAAAGATTAGAGGAATTCACCCATAGGTTCTCCTGGTTTTGCTAAATCCACGATGCCGTCCACTTTAACCAATCAAGTGATGCCAAGGGCTGTCAATCATCGTGCTCGTACTCGTATACAATTCAAATATCAAATATATATATATATATATATATTAAAACAAATATTAGACAGCCCTTAATATTCTCCGGAACTACATGAAAAGTGAACAAATAATTCAGAACATCAGCGGTGAGTGACCCAAATAAAAACTTGACCTTAATCCATAATCAGATCCTCTGCAAATGTGTCCTAAAATGTTCTACTATTGTTAATGGTTACTTCCGGGTTCATCACGATTGTTTTTGGTCACATTAAAACAGTATTATTGTCATGAAAACGTTAACAGATAATTCTGAAAACCTCCGTGCACATGTGTTAAGGATGTATATGTATAATATTTTCTCCAATTAACATTTAAAGGTGTTGATCGATTGTTTTGCATGTTGTTTGTCCTCAGAGCTAGTCTCAGATGGGAGCCATGGCGGCAGCAAGGTGTGACAGCTTGGCAGGTGCTGTTACTCCTCTCCTGAAACCTCCTAAGCCGCCGTTATATTTTTATTTTTATTTGTACTCAAACTCCTGTTCTACATTAACGGGAATATCATATGTCCTCCATAAAAACACTAAAATCAAGAATGTTTGTACCGTGAGTTTGGCGTTGTACGCAGTGACACTCATCATCACAATGCAACTGCTTGGGAGCCGGGTGGCTGCTGTACGCGGCCGCCTGACAGCGACTCGGGAATCTCCGGATCCCCGTCGGTCACCCTCGGAGGATTGCACTGTAGCTGGCCCCCCGCGTGGCGTAGCACTAGTCCCATGGAGTCAGTTTGTGCTGTACAACCATGTGCTGGATAAAGGGAAAGCGACTGCTCCAAAGAAAGAACGGGGCTCATCAGTGGTACGTGACGGAGTCGAGCGGCGAATGAAAACTTTTTGCTGCATCCTCCTCCTGCTCTGCGGAGACATCCAAGCCAACCCTGGACCCGTGGATATCCCAAGTACCTCGCAACAACAGGTAAGCCGCACGCCCGGTGCACCAGCGGCTAATCTTGATGCCCTGCCTACTGGAATACGAGATGGCACGAAAAACTATTTTCCTACCATGCAGATCTGTGACTCCTCTAAAATAAATCCGCTGCAAACCACCGCAGCTCAGAAACAGCAACAGATTCGCCTCTTCCAAACTGTCAATCATGTGAGCGTGATTTGGAACTCAAAAACCAAACCAAAGGGGATATTCGGCGGACATCTTCTGTAAATATTCGGAGTGTTATATCCAAGACTAAACAAATAGAACATTTACTTACGGACTCTAATTTAGATTATATATGCTTGAGTGAATATTGGTTGAATTCTGCGACGCCCCTAGCGGTAATTAATGTCAACGGCTGCAAAGTTTACAGACGGGACAGAGAACATGGAAGGGGGAGGAGTGTTGATATATGTTAAAAACAGTCTCCAAAGTAAAGAAATAGACATGGGGAAAACTACACTTGAGTGTGTGGGAGTTTCCATCACGCTCTTCACTCAAATGTTTTTGCAATACTTTGCATATATCGCCCTCCAAATGCCTCAAATGATTTCTACCCAGAATTACATAAAATGCTTAAAGCAATTGAATACAAGGAAATCTTACTTATGGGTGACTTCAACTTGAACTGGCAAGACAATGTACGAAGAAAAAACTCAAAGAACTAGTAAAATCTCTTGAAATGACCCAAATACTAAACAAACCTACCAGAATAACAAAAACATCACAAACATTAATAGATTTAATCTTTAAAAACAAACCAGAAAGAGTAACAAAAACCTATAACCTGCTTACTGGTCTATCAGGCCATAACCTCACACTAGCAGTCAGAAAATTAAACAAGTCAAGATTTAAGTGTGAAGGTCCAAATAATATCCACAATATATCATTTGTCCCCAAACAAGTTCTCCCTCTGCTTAAGAATGATCTGATGCAAGTAAAATGAAGCGAAACGATAGCTGATAAGTCTTGTGAACAAGCTTGTAGTGACTTTATCTCCACTCTACAATCTATTTTACATAATTATACAAAACACAAAAGAAAGAATCAGAATAAGAAAAGTCTACCATGGTTTACACACGAAATTTGGAAACTCATGATGAAGAAAAGGGACGCTTCATTGAAACCTTTCATAAAATCAAGACTATCTACTGATAATCTAATCTTCAAAGGGCTAAGGAATAAAGTTACAGCAATGATCAGGAAAGCCAAGGCTAACTTCTTTCTCAATCTAATTAAAGAAGCTAAGGGAAATAGTAAAATGTTGTGAAAAATATTGACAACATTCTTGGAAAACAGAAAAAGACCAATGATGAAATGTATCTCCAAATAAATGGAGTCACTGAAAAGGAAAGTGCCGTCCTGGCGATGAATTTTAACAAATATTTGATTGATTCAGTGAATAAATTATTACAATAATTCCCACTACCCCACATCATGGACACTCCTGATGTGAAGGATCCAATGGCTCTGCATCTAATGCCAATAAATGAAGAAAAATTAGATAAAATCATTGGTAAACTAAACAACAGTAAAGCAAAAGATTTTTACGGATTAGACTGCACTTTCCTAAAAGAACACAAGGACGTACTTAAAATGACCATCTCTAAATCCATAAACCAGTCAATAGAAAACAGTGTCTTTCCCAGTGCTCTTAAAATTGGAATAATCACACCTGTGGTTAGGTCGGGAGATAAACAGCAGGTATCCAACTTCCGCCCCATATGTATTCTGCCTTCTATTTCAAAAATCTATGAAAAAGCTGTAGCGGAGCAGTTTACAGAACATTTAGGCTCATACTCACTCCTGAACCCAATGCAGTTTGGATTCAGGAGTGGGTATTCAACAGAAACTGCCTGCTGCTTTCTTATCGAAGAAATCAAATCCAGACTGGACTATGGCGGGGTTGTGGGAGCAGTCTTCCTTGACCTCCGCAAGGCTTTTGACACGGTCAATCACAGCATTCTCTTAGGAAAATTATCCAATTATACTCTATCCAAACAAACAATAAACTGGATTCGGTCATACCTAAGTGGCAGACAACAATGTGTGAGAGTCAAAAACACCTTGTCACCACTAGATGACTACACCACGGGAGTGCCGCAGGGCTCCATTTTGGGGCCACTATTATTCAGTATGTACATCAATGACCTCCCCTCAATCTCCACTGCCAACACCATCATGTATGCCGATGATACCGTACTCTTTGTCCATGGGAAAAACAAAAATGAGGTCACAAAAGAACTGACCATCCAAACTCAGAGAGTGGCTGACTGGCTGTTTCAAAAAACACTGAACACAGAGAAAACAGTCTCAATGTTTTTCACAAATCAAACTAAACACCTAAATTATCAACAATTAAAATAAATGGAAATAATATCAAAAATGTTGAAAAATCCATGATGTAAACTTTATACACAAATCCAACAGCAAGAATGTGTGTGGGAGGCGGATTCTCTGAGATTTTTCAAATCGGGAGGGGAAGTCGTCAAGGAGACCCATTGTCACCTTTGGCATTTAATTTATGCATGGAACCGCTGGCACAACTAATAAGAAACTGCTCACAAATATCCCCCATTACAGTTGGATCATCAAAACACTCTATATCATTATAGGCTGATGACACTTTGATTTACATGGCAGATGTTCAACAGTCACTTCCTCATGTTCTGGAAAAATTGGAACAGTTTGGATATCTTTCAGGGTATAAGGTTAACCTGTCTAAAACAGCTTTGATGTTAATTAATACTGACGAACACAAAGTGTCTTTGCCACCACCGATACAAATAGTGAAAGAAGTTACTTATTTGGGCATTCAGATTTGTAATAATGTATCAATGATAGCCAAGAACAACTATTTGTCTGTTCTAAAGAACATTGAAGAAGATACTAATAGGTGGGCACATCTCCCAGCATCAGTTCCAGCTAGAATAGCAGTTGTTAAAATGAATATATTACCCAGAATAAACTTTGTGAGCTCTATGATTCCCTTGCCGCCCCCTACTGGTTATTGGTGCAAACTAGACTCCACACTAAGGAAATATATTTGGAATGGCAAGCGCTCAGCGGTTAAATGGTCAGTGCTACAGATGAAAAGATCTGATGGTGGATGTGCCCTACCTAACTTCAAGTTCTATCATTGGGCTTTTATATTGAGGGGATTATCCTATTGGCTGGACGATAGCAAAACATCTTCATGGAAATGTATTGAGCAAGAATTAATAGAACCATATAGATTAAAGGATTTTATTTCTTGGAATTTCAACTAAGAAAAGTAATTTGAATTATGGGCCACTATTGACATATATGTTAGTGATATTTCGAGCTGTTGAGAAATGTTTAAAATGTACACAACGTTGGTATAAATCATCACCACTATGGAATAATAGACTGCTTTTATCAGGTGGAAAGCCATTTTCAAACCGAGACTGGGATTTTAAGGGAATTAGAGTCCTACAGGACATTAATGGATGTGAATCTATACTGAGTTTCCAAGAATTAGTTGCTAAATATAATGTTGATCAGCATTCTCTGTTCTTTTATTTCAGGATAAGATCTGCGTGTAAAACCTATGGTGTCCCATGGGGATCAGAGCTAAAGGAACACCCCATCTCTAAAATATTACGACAAGCCCCCAAAAGAATAGTGTCATTTTTGTATGACAAACTTTTAACTCAGAACGATGTACTTTCAGCGGGAATGAAAACATGGGATGAGGAATTTGTAACTTCTTCTTTCAACCTGAATTGGGATAGAACTTGGCGTAATGTAAACAGAGCCTCAAAAAACCCTAACCATCGCTACATCCACCTAAAATATTGCCATAGAGCATACTTGACACCAGTTTTGAGACATAAGATGGGAGTGGCTTCTGATCCCTACTGTTCGTTCTGTCCCCCGGGAACCATAGGCTCCTTTTTGCATGTGGTTTGGGAATGTCCAGCAGTACAGGAATTATGGGTTAAGGTGTTAGACTGTTTATCCACAATAACTAAAACATCTTTGCCCTTGGAGCCTTTTGTACATTTACTAAATGATGACACTCAGATTTCTCTTCACGAAGGTACAAGGAAAATATGGCTAGCAGGCCTTACAGCAATCAAAAAACTCATAGCACAAAGATGGAAACCACCCAACGACTTGTCATATAACCACTGGCTGCACAGCTTTTTGGACATTGCATATACTTTGCACTTTGTAAACATTGTTTTTGAAAAGTGCTTTATAAATAAAGATTTATTATTATTTTATTATTATATATGGAACTATCATCTGCCCGAATCAACGGGGCATCTCAACGGACTCTTGCAACTTGGGCCCAGCTTTCGGAAGATCTAAAGTGTATTCTGGGCACTGTGAACTGAGAGATAGAGCATCGAGGTGGTGGTGGTGGGTGGGTGGATGGGGGGGGGGGGGGGGGCGGGAGGGAGGGAGGGAGGGAGGTTTAAAACAAAAAAGAATTTTGTACATCAATGTTGTTGTTTGAATGTAATTTGAAAATTTTTCAATAAAAATTTGATAACAAAAAAAAAATGTTGAAAAATATACCTACTTGGGCGTCAGCCTCGACTCCACTTTAACATTTAAAAGTCATTTCAAAAAACTTCAAAACAGTCTAAACTTTACATTGGCCAACTTCAGACACATCAGAGGGTCCCTCAGAGTCGAGGCCTCCCACATGTTTCTAAATGCTATGATTTTGCCACACTTCATGTACTGTATGTCAAGTTGGTCCCAGGGCTCCAAATCTGCTCTGGGTCCTCTTCAATCAATATACAAACGTGCATTAAAAATACATGTCAGAAAACCCAAACAACACCACCACTGCCCAATCTTAACAAAATACAAAATTCTTAACCTCGAAAATATGTTTTTTAATAATGTGTGTCTACTTTTTAAAATTGTAAACAGTCTTATAGCCCCACCCCTCAGGAAATATGTGACCTTGCGCTCTGAAACGATGACCCGTGCCACTCGATCTACAGCACGAGGAGAGTGCAGCGTCCCAAAATGTAGGACTTCTTTCAGAAAGTC